GAGAATGCGCAGGGTATGGCGAAACTGAAGAAAAAGAGGCATGGAGGAAGGATAACGAATAACATTAGTATAGCGGCGATTCCGGAAAAGGCAACAAGGAGTTATCGCTAACTTGTCGGCTTGAAGTTCCTGCTATTCCGCCTGCGCACCAAACTTCAAGGACCAACGTGCATGGCGCGAAACGCCAATGCAGTCTTGTATATATCTGTATATCTAATCGAAAAATCAAACAATTCCATCTTACGATGGGCGCTTCCCACCCTATTTCATCACGCGCGAAACGCGGGGGGGGGGGGGGGGAACACATCGTAAAGTGGGCGCGCCGGAGCGCGCTACCTTGTGTGAAGTGCGCCCCGCGTGTGACTCTACACGCCAAACCCGCCACCGCCCGATCGTTACGCGGGGCCCCTGGGCGGGCGGGAGGTGCGCCCCGTGTACGATGCATGTGCAAAACGAACCCGAACCCGCCCGCGCCCGAGCGTGAAGTACTTTCGCCAAACATCGACCCTCTGCCGCCGCGAGCGGATTTTCGCAGCGCGCCCGCTCCCGCCCGACAAGGAACTGCGCCCCACAGCGACGGGCGGGCCCTGCGCCCCCCTAGGCCCAGAACGCAGCCGTGAGACTGCCAGGAGCGGCGACGGCGACGACGACGACGACGACGACGACGACCACGGCGACGTCGACGACGGCGACGATGACGACCACGACGACGGCGACGACGACGATGACGACCACGACGACGGCGGCGACCACGGCGACCACGACGAAGACGACATGCGTTCTCGCCACATCGCCGGCCACTGCTTAGCTCTAGCTCCTCCGCCGAAACACAGTCAGCATCCTCACTCGCCTCTTCCTTTAAATCCCCCTGTTCCTTCCCCCTCCTCGTTTTCCTCCTCCTCCCCCTCCGTATCTCCATGCACTTGTCCCTCGCGTTCCCTTCATAGCCTCCCAGGGAAACCGCGACAGACCACGGCGGCCGTCCGGGTACGATATATGTATCAGGGACCGCGCGCTCCCCATTCCATCTGCCCGGGCGGCAGAGGTTGCCGACGCTGTAAGCAATTGCCGCAATAGTGATTGGAACACGCCCGAACAGGTTCGACATCCACGCAACTGGGGAAACAGTTATAACAAACTCAACAATACGATCATCGTAATTATCTGCAGACGGCAACGCCCAAAGAGGATCATTCAGTGATATTATCCTTCCAATGTTGGCAGCGTGCGCAGGCGTGCACCATGGGCCAGGTCATTGATATGCCACGCTTTGGCTTGCGCGCCCAGTGGCATCATTGGAAGGCGGACGCCACTTAATGCCGGGTGCTCTTCCAAGCTGATCCTTCGCAGGGCCGCTGGCGTGGGCGGTTCCACGTTCTGCCTTGCGGTTTCGTTCCCACCAATCGGATGGCTAACGTGCAACGCGCAATGCAAACGAAACGTTGTTCCGTAACATTGACAAGCGGATGTCACTTGATGCGACGGGCCCCGCCTGGTCTGACCCAGCGTATTTTCGGTTTCCATCCCTGTGCCACTTTTGTTATATAAGCTGTTTTTCGCGGGGATGTACGAACAACAAACCAGAAACAACACGCAGCAGAAACACAACCCTCTCTCCTTTTAGCTGGGCCACTTCCCCATCCCTGGGCCTGCTCTGCCCCGCAAGGCGACTTATCGATGCGCGCGACTGGATATTCCAAGTATGCATTTATGGAAGTGGTGTTTTTTGTTCAAGAGGGGACCTGCGGCACATTTGACCCTGAACGCCATTGCGAAGAGGAGGAATGAACGACGAGTGAAATGGGCGACAACAGCGAAGATAGGGAATAGGCGAAGAGAAACGCAAGTGTTTCTCCGACCGACAGCCTCGCCCCGCGAGGCCGACGTGCGTTTTGGCGGCGCGCTGCCACGCATTCGAGGAAATGGCGGTGGCCTATCGAAAGGCCGCTGCCGCGAGCAGAGGAACGCGAGCAGCGACCCTTGACCCCGTTCCATCCCATCTGGAGGATCCGCGAGCGCGCTAGAATGCCAAATGCTGTTTGGTAGGGGTTCTGCTCACCCCCCCTCCCCGAGGTCCCGCGTCGGGCCCGCGGCGAAAGTTGAAAGGAGCCTACGCCTCCAGCTCCTCACTTCCTTCGTCGTCGTCCTCCTCCTGCTCCTCCTGCTCCTCTGCGAAGGACGAGAATGAGGGGGGGCGGCGCGTGGGTGGGGGGCCAGAAGAGAGCCGAGGACGAGACCAGTGAGCTGCCCGCCGCGGCCCCGTCGGGACCCCTTGGACCACTGGAATATTTGGAGAACGCTCGGGGGTCGAATCCCCGGGCCCGTCCCCGGGCCCCAGCGAAGAATCGGGCGACGCCCCGCCAATAATCCTTCTGCGAGCGGGCACGCAGCAGAATCATTCGGGAAGCTTCATCAAATGAGTGACCGGGCCCACCCCCGGGGCCCCATCCAACGTGCCATCCCGGGGCCACCCCCAGGCGCCCCGAGCCCCCCATGAGGGCCCGCGGCTCCCCCCCGGGAGCGTGGCGGGCGCCAAGAGCTCACCAGCGGGCCACGGCGCCCCCCGCGGACATCCCCGAGGACGCCGAATCCACCCCCGGGGGGCAGAAAGCAGCGGCGAGGCGGGACGCAAACATTTCGAGGAGACGGGATTGGGTGGAAAAGCGGCGACTAGGACGATGGGGAGGACGAGGAGCAGCCGCCCGACCCCGCGAAGAGGACGGCGACGGAGGGAGAGGAGGCGGCCAGGAAGGATGATGAGAGGCGATGCAAGGCTAACGTGGCGAGGTGAGATCGAGGACGATGAGGTGAACAAGTAGTGCTACGCTGATAGAACACTGAGCTCGACGGAACGGACAGACTGGGCAACGATGGAGGAGTACACCGCTCTGCTCTGGTCTCCTCTACTCGATTCTACCCGATTCTAGTGTAGCATCTACAGTTCCCTACTCTGCTCTACTCTACTCTACTCTATACGATTCCTGTGCCACCACATAGGGAACACATGCGATGACTGTGGCATCCTTTAAGAATGTTACGGGGATCCTGCTTGTTTCCTACGCAATCTCATCGGGAGCCAAAAAGAGTCTCCTAAGACCATACTGGAATCATCCTGGAATCCTACGTGCCCAAGCAAATCCGATCGGCATCTTCCGCGATGCCTCTGACATCCGATAGAACACGTCTCGGATTCTCACTGGGGTCCTATGCGGATGCGATCGGAATTGTACGGGCTCCTCTGGGGCCCTATACGATTTCTATGAGATCCGATTGGAATCCGGTCCGATTCCTATGACATCCGCAAGAGCCGTATACTAACCACGTGAGATCAGATATAAAACCGAAGCAATGCAACTCAGATCCCATAGGGCCCTATCGGAGTCCTATACGACTCAATCAAATCTGAAGGGGATCGTGAATGATCCCCACGAGGTTTCACGAGCTTCCTGTACGATCCGCATGAGATCTGATATGCATCCTATACGACTCTGGTGATATCCTACATGCATCCAGGACGAGTCCTATGGGGACCCCACGCGACTCATCAGAGAACCGATATGCATCTTATACGACTCCTATGAGATCACATCGGGATCATACAGGATGCTATGTGAATTCGATGCGATTGCTGTGACATCCGACAGGGGACCCATCTGAATAGCAAAGGAAGCCACTAGCACATGTCAGTGGAATCAAGACGACGAACATTCAAATTTGACGCGGGGGCAATGGACCAGTTCTCTTTCGGGCGTTGGCAGAGCTGGGTTTAGTGGGACCTGGTTTAATGATGTGTACTGGGGGACGCCCCCCCCCCCCCGCCTCGTTTCACTAACCGGAACTGCCGTCACCTGAAAAAACACCAGCTACGGCAGACCTGTTTAGTGATTCTGGTCAATTTACGGGCTCCGGGGCCCTACCACTAACCGGGTCCCCTTACCTGGGGTCCTGGCTATACCCGACTCTTTGCTCTGAGCTAGGACTCCTATGAACAAGCCTACTTGGTGACTGAAGGGGGGAGCACGAGGACGGAGAGGACGACGACGACGGCGACGACTGGCAACGAGAACAAGGTGACAGAGCGATCGGGGCGGCCCTCTCAGAAGGCAGGAGGCTCCTTGGCAGGGCCCCGCCCACTTCTTTCTATCAGGCTTGTACGAGGGCTTCCTGGAATGCAGGAGGGCTACTGGAGCGGCGGGGTGCACTCTTAGAGGGCCGCCCCCGCCTTGCCCCGTTCCGAACGAATCGGGGAGGCGCCGACCGGGGTCAGCGCTACCCCACAGATCCGAACCCAGGAAACGATGCCTAGGAGCTGCGCGCAAGCCGACGGGCTCTGCCTGAGGGGGCCGGCGGCAACTGTGTGAGGCTGTGCACGAGTCCGGGACGTCTTGCCATTTGCCGGGAAGCTGCCTGAGCGCGGCGCGTGGCCGTAAGAAGCCTTGCCCGCGTTGCGCACCCAGACCGCGTGGCAGCTCTCGGGCCCAGGAGAAACATGGCCGTCACAGTTTTTGCATCGCCCAGAGGATCTGAACGCCGAACGAGGCGGGCCCAGATCATTTCGTTGCCGACGTCGTCGGACCGCGTTCGTCGTCGTCGCCGTCGTAGTCGTCGTTTTCGTCCCTCCTCTCTGCCCTCCTCTCCCCCGGGGCCCATCCTGGGCCACGCCCTCGGGCGGCGCCCAGTCGTGGCGGCGAGGGCCCCACGTGAGTCTCCCGAAGAGGGCCCCTCCGAGGCCACGCCTTCGTGCGCTGCGCCTGGCCGTGGCGGCCGCGCACTGCCGCCCCCCCCCCCCCTGCCCCGCGCCCTGCCGCCCGCCCCTCCCGCCCTGCCCCTCCTCCGAATCCCAGAGCACCGAGGCTCGAGAGCCGAGGCGGCTCGGGGAGCCTCGAGGCGCGAGAGGCGAGGCGGGCCTCGAGGCGCCAGGACCTCGACCCCCCCCCCCTCCGCAGGCCCTGCCCGCCCTGCCCGCCCTGCCCGCCCCGCGCCGCCTCCGCCCGCCCCTCCTGTGGCGCGCCGCGGGTGCCAAGGGGCGGGGCGCGCTGTGCGCGCCGGCCGCCCAGCGGGCGGCCTTTGCGGGCGCGGGCTCCCCGGTGCCGAGCCTTCCCTCGTCCTCCTCCTCCTCCTCCTCCTCCTCCTCCTCCTCCTCCTCCTCTTCCTCGCCCTGCTCCTCCTCCTCCCTCCGCCTCCCTCCTCACACCATGAGTACGACTCCCATCTCTCCCCAGACTCTTGTCTGGAAGATGCTCCGACCTCTCCGCCCACGGTGTCTTACACACGCAAAACCGGACAAGCGTGATCGGTTATATGGCTGCGTGCGGTGTTACAGCGTCCGATTGTTGTCGGTGTTTCAAGATGTTTTTCCCGCTGCAGCGTGGGCCTCATTTTCGGATCGGTGCTGTGCTCCCGTCGTTCAGAACGGCGCTCTCGCCTTAGCGTGGGCCACTTGTCTGGATCCGAGTCCTCCCTCATCGTTGTCGCCCCCTCCTTTACCCTCCTCAATTTCCCCCTGGTCCTCCTGATCCGCCCGCTCATTCGACTACAATTCCCGTTGCTGCTGTTCGTCCTCGTCCTTCTCATCCTTCTCCTTCCTCATCCTCCCTCTTATCCTCCTGATCAGCTCATCAGCCTTTCCCTGGTCCTCCTGCTCCTCCTACTCCTTCCACTCCTGTTCCTGATATTGCTGTTCGTCCTTGTCTTCCTTCTTCCGCATCCTCCTCCTTTTCCTCCTGCTCATCCTCCAGCTCGCTCGCCACCTCCTCCTCCTCCTCCTCCTCCTCCTCCTCCACCTCCCACTCGTCCTCCTCCAATGTGCGCAGCTCCCCTGTTCCGATTGCGAATAGCACGATGGTATGTTAATTGAAGTTCCAGGTCGGCCGTAACACGTGTCCGCGGATAGAGAATCCATCAGCGCAGTGGGAGGGGATGGGACAGGATGTCAGATATGGCGCGCGCAGCTAGTTTTGTCCTCCTCCCCTCACCCTCCTCCTCCTACTCCACCACCCTCTCCTCCTCGTCCTACTCCACTGCCCTCTCATCCTAGTCCTCCTTCTCCTTCTCCTCCTCCTCGTCCTCTGCATCCTCCTCCCTCTCCTTCTCCTCCATCCCTGTTCCTTCTAGGTAATCTCTCCCTGTCGCACAATCAGACGTGTCAGGAGGGCGAGCAGGGAATCCCGCATGGACTTCCGCTGGAATACTTCACAACTGTTACTTGTACGGAGGGCGGTACGTCTTCAGAATGGGGCTATCGCGCCGGCGCCGCGCGCTTTAGTTTTCACATGTTCAACTGCTGCCAGGATAGAGGCCGGTACGCTTTCAACGTGGGGACCTTGCCACAGCACCGCGCACACTCATCTTCGAGAACTCCAGCAGCTCACGCGAGGAATGGGATGGAGGGCGGCACGTCTCCGTCCCCAGAGAGTGCAGCAGTCACAATGCTGGAAGGTGGCCTCTTTCAGACTGCGGCTGTCGCGAGAGCCTTCCTGAAGAAATGGACGACCATTGGCTCGACAATAAGGAGACAGCCGCGCGAATGGAGTCGGCGTCGACTCAAGAAAGAAGCTATCGCTTGAGACTGCCTGAAATTGATTACGGTCGGGCCTAGGCCAGAATAGCATCCTCTAAGAACATGAGACCATCCGCTGACCAAACTGAAAAACATTCGAGGGTGAACATCCAAACAACACAAAGAACATCACGATCCCGAACCGACCTCGATCGCATACCTCGGTCCGACCGTGTTAGGATGTGTTACATGAGTCGTGCAATTACACGGATGGGGGGGCGGTCCTTTTCAAAACAAGGCTCTCGCCGGGTGCCTCGTGGAACTATGTGATTTTTTCTTTCCGCATGTGAGGGCGCTGTTCAAATCAGCGCCCTCACATGAATCGCAGGCACAAGGTGTGCTCGTCTTGCAAAGGGAAGCTTCTTGTTGTGCAAAACAAGTTATGTAGAGACTCATGAAGAGGGACCTTGGGACGGGAGGGTGTATTGGGGCATCGTGGATGCATCCTGGAGAATTAATGTGGTCGTTCCCCTCCTCCTCGTCCGCCCACTCCTCGCCCCTCTCCTCCTCCTCCCCTCCTCATCCATGGCTTCATTGATTCCTTATATGTGTTCTTTCTGCCCTCCACTCCTCCTCGCGCTCCTTCGCCTCATCCTCACCCTTGTGCTATTCCCTTTTAGTTTCCCTCCTCCTCCTCATCATCATCCTGCTGGTTCTCCCTCCTTGTACCTCTCTTCCTGTCTCTTCCCTACTCTCCCAAGCCTGCTACCTCACAGGGGAGCTTACACGCGAGCTGGGTGACGTCGATCATGTCTGGAGGCGCGCATCCAGCAGCTCTCTCAGTAGTTGGAAAACGTGCCTCCACCACGACGAAGCGGGCAAGAAGCGAGCTGCTTCCCGCACTGCGGGGTGGCCACAAGAGAACACCCACAACCGCTCCCTCGCTATAATCGCTTGTTCGAGCATCCGCGTCGCCAAACGACGCCCAAATCCGCGTTGGACCCAGGACAGTGCCCAGTCAAGACATGTCAAGACGCGGTCCGCTTTGACAACCAAAAGCAATCTTTCCCTCCTCCCTTCTCCCCCTCCTGCTCGTCTTCCTCCCTCCGCGTCCCCCTTCCTTCTCGTTCCTCCGCTCTTGGAAGTGGCGCAGTGGCCCAAAACCACTGGCAACGAAGCAATCTGCAGATGGTTCTCCGTCTTCTTGTCGAACAGGACCTCCTCTGCTTCGACCTGGGCAGGTGGCTTAAGGAATTCGCCACCAGCTGCCGTTCTGCCGACCCCAACGCGACCGTCAAGCTGATCATCAGCAACGGCCTATACGGCACTACGCACAGCTACGAGGACGGGGTCGGCAGCTAAGGCTTTGTCAGCGGCGGGGGTGAAGGAAGGCGACCGTCACCGTCTGAGCTGAGGGCTCCGCGGCGCAGAAAATGAGGACCGCAACGAGGAGGTCATCAAGAATCTGATCTGCGAGAAGGCCCTCTTCCGGAAGGAGCTGCGGGAACAAAGCAAGGCGCAGCAGGGGGAGAAGGAGTTTTTGCTGAACAATAACTGGCCAACGAGTTCGCGAGGACCACTTCGCGATTGAAAGGTACTTAATCGGGGACCCAGGCTTTCGGAGTTCGGCAGCGCTGAGAACGCGGACGCTTTCGACGAGTTCGCGAAGAAGTCGGTGGTCGCAGCCATGGCCTCAGCGGACTACCAGAAATGCAACGAGTTCGCGCAGCCGTCGGTGACCGCAACCATGGGCTCAGGGGACGACCAGAAGAGCTACTTCAAGGGCACTGGGTTCGCGCATAAGAAGTTTGTAGCAGCCATTGGCCCGAGGAATTCAACGACAGAAGCTACAGGGTCGGCAGCGGCTTCAATCAGGACGTCCTGGACTTTGCCTTTGGCGGCTAGCGCCGTTCGGTGAACATCTATAAGGAGAGTACGTCCGCGCAGCAGGTGGTGGCAGCTATGGGTCCAGCGGACTACAAGCACAAGGAGGTTGGTAACAAGTTCGCACAGCAGAAGGTGGTTGCAGCCACGGGCTCGGCGAGCTACAGCAACAACAGGAAGCATATTGTGCAAAAGCTGCGAGATGTGCCGCTCAAGCACGGCGTGCGTAACAATACTGACGTTACGACTAAAGGTACACATAAGACGTGTTCGTGCATCAGCCCTGCCCTTAGATTGATCAGGCCAGGATCGGAAGTAGAGTACAGCTTGGACTGGGACGCATCACAGGGCAAGCACGAAGGACTTAGCGTCGTCGAGGTCGTGACGCAGCGTACGGTAGCAGCCATGGGCGCAGCGGACAACATCAAGGGTTCGGAGTTCGTGTCGAAGCATATGGTCGATCACATGGGCCCAGCGGACCACAGGGCGGGCAAGGCGCCAGAGCTGGCCGCGCTGCTGGCCAAGGCGCAGGATCTCATCGCCTGGATGGAAGGCTTACATGCGGCTCGTCAGACTAGCCACGTACGAACAAAAGAACCATGGCCTATCGCCTTCTATCGATTGTGCGCCAGCACCTCAAGACGGAGGAGGGCTGAAGTCATCGGGTGTGGGGGTGACCTCATGCACAGCGCAGGCCAAACTAGGCCCCTGGGTGGTCCTACACCCCAAGCCCCCTCGAAACAACCAAAAACACAAGAGGCGTTCGGCTTCCGAGTCTGTCTTGTCTGTTGTGTGTGTGTGAATGTGTGTGTGTGTGGTGTGTGTGTGTGTGTGTGTGTGGTGTGTGTGTGTGTGTTCGGGTGCCTTTTAGGGCCCCTTTGGTGATCTCCTGCTGGTGGAGGGCCTCGTCTGGTCTGCGAGGCCCGTCGGGGCCTGGCCCTGGGACCTCTTGGCCCCATGTTGGGTGTTCCTGCTGGCCCGCTGTTGCTCGGCGTGGGCCTCTGGGTCCTTCTTCGTTGGCGCGTCGCCTGGTGCATGTGTGGTTATCCCCCCCTTTGCGTTGGGCCCCGCGCGGCGAGGGACCGCTGAAGCGGTTCGTATCATCAGAGCCCTCAGGGCCTTCCTCCCTCCTTCCCCCCTCCCTCCTCCCTCCTCCTCCTCCGCCTCGTTCCTCCAGTCCTTTCCCTCGTAGACAGCTGCTCCCTGTCGCACCCCAAGGCCAGTTTTTAGGGCGGGCCGGGCGTGTCCCCTGAGCCTTATCACCATTTATGGCCCTGAACCTTAAACATTGACAACAGCTTCACAGATGGAGGCGGGTGATCTTCAACATGTGGCTCTCGCCTTAGCGCTGCGCACATTCGTATTCAAATTTGCAAGGGCTTCACGGATTGAAGGCGGTTTCTTTTCAAAATGTGGCTCTCGCCTTCGCGCCGAGCTCATTCGCTTCAAACATTTGAAAGACCTTCACGGATTGAGGGCGGCTCATGTTCAAAATGTGGCTCTCGCCTTAGCGCCGCGCACATTCGTTTGTCAAAATTGCAAAAGTTTCACGGGTTGAAGGCGGTTCCTTTTCAAACTGTGGTTCTCGCCGCAGCGCCGCGCACTTAAAAAAACTTGCATGTGTTTCACGGATTCCCCATGGCCAGCGTACCAGGAATAATGTTTTAGAAAACTTCAGAATA